ATTTCCCCATATGGTACGGAAGATTCTTATAGATTTTCCCTATGTACATTCGTTTGCGTTATATGATCGTAAATGCGTTTAATTATCACCTCTCCACATTTTTTCGGGTGCCCGGGTACCCGGGTAATTACCATACTGCCCGGGTACCCGGTCTACCAGGGTCTACCCGGGTTATAAAATACCCGGGTACCCGGGCTACCCGGGTAATTCAATACCCGGGTAGGGCTTCACCCGCTACCCGGGTACCCGGGTAGCTCATTACCCGGGTGAAACCATCAGCCCTAGTATATATGTATAAACGATTTACATATATACATATGGATACATACATACATTCCCACATAAATTGTATAAGGATGCAACTGAAGTATACCGTGAAAATGAAATTAAATTAAATAAAAACCCACAGATAAGTAGTTCATAATGAAGCATGAAATAGCAAATAAAAATGACTTCCGAATGAAGTGATTCGCAGAACCTACCCGTATGTATGTATCTAGTAGAAACGTAGCAGGAACATAGAGAATACCTAATAAATCCGTAATCAGAGAAGATAAATTACATATTTTACATACTAAAGCCTAGTATATGTATGTATGTATGTATGTACGTACATACATACACGATTATTTGCATAAGTGGTTAAAATAAATCTAAAGAACTTCGAAGGTTCCAAGAGAGAAATCGTGTGAACGAGTTTTTGTGACCAAAAAATATTAAAGCAAAGAGAATTTTGCAAATTAACTTTAAAACGGTCTAATGCATGCTACCACTCGCACACATTTAAAATTCATTGAAGGAAATGTAAAGTTATTAAAGAGTCAAATAAATATACTTACATATATGGGCAAATCTAAAAAATAGGTACACTTTCAAAATAAAAATTTCAATTTTTAAATTTGTGACCACACCTATGTTTTATATATCATTTTATTCGTAATCTCTTAGTAAATCGATTAATATAAGTGTAATTCATTTTCATCAAGTGCTTCAAAAGTGAGACGAGACATGAAATAGAAAACAAAAGAATAAGCTGGGTTTAAATAACGCTGTTCAAGTTTTATACTTTGAGCAAAGATTTTGAAAGTTGAACTCACTTAATTGGGACGTTCTAAATTCTATGGCATGCCCCTTTTTACCAGATTGCCTCCGGGTTTCGAGATAACGGTACTTGAATATTGGATTAAATTTTAACTATTTTATAAATAACTCCCTCAGTTTTGAAGTTATTTTACTAAAATTTTGCACATAACAGTTTTTTAATATTACCTTAATTAGTTCTTAAAATTATCGAAATAGGTTCACATTAACATATAGCTCCAATACAACTGATTACTCAGATATGTGTTTTTGCGCTATAACTCTAACTTCATATCTGAATAATAAATTGTATGCGTGCTATATGTTAAATTAAACCTATACTAAATTTTAACCTGTTTAATTGGAGGAGTTATAACGCAAAACAACGTCTCTGATCAATCAGTTGTATGGGAGCTAGATGTTTTAGTGAACCGATTTCGATGATTTTATGGAATAGTTAAGGTAATATTAAGAAACGGTTATGTGTAAAAGTTTAGTAAAATATCTTTAAAACTCAGGGACTTTTTTATAAAATAGTTCAAATTTAAGCAAAGTTTCAAGTACCGCTATCTCGAAAAGTTGAGCCAATAGGATAAAACTGAGGATGCCATTGAATTTAGAAGGCTCCAATTAAGTAAGAGCAACTATCAGAACATTTGTCGAAAAAAGTTGCTTTGATACCACTCTCGAAATATTCCGACTAGATACCCGGGTATCGAGCAATGCGAGTAGCTCGATACTCGCTCGAAACTCGTTCATTGCTCAAATGCTTGTTAAAAATTTTCGAGTTTTTGAACAATTTCGTAAACAAAAGAAAATTTGTAAATTGTATTTGTCAGCAGTTGCTTTCTAATTCATGTTAAATAAATTATATTATTAAATACCAATGAAACAATCTTTGCATTATATATCAATAATTTGAAAAATTTAAAAAGTTGTTACCAAAAATGTCAATATAATAAAAAAAAACATTGCTCAAATTACTCGAAAAAACTCGAATTGCTCGAGCTCATGCTAGAAAATTTTCGAGTAATGAGCATTGAACAAGTGTGCGAGTACTCGCTGCTCATATACCCGGGCTGTTTGAAAATGTGCGAACAAAATCGAGAGCTCTAATTCCGACTAAAAGAAGGAGCATCATTAAAAGTAGTAAATCAGGGTTTTCAAACACTTCTAGAGACACATTTTTTGAAGCATTTTACAGGTATATGTGATTTTATAAGGACTAACAGTTATAGAAAGATTTAGATCGTTTCGACGTATTTTCCAAATGTGCCTTCAATTAAGGTGTTTTTGAAATAAAAATTACGCTCAAGATCGCAGAATATTTTATCTTTAAAAGTTAGTTTATTATGAAAGCACACTTCTTGCTAAGGTATCAAATTATTCGTAATTGTTTGTACAATACAATACATACTTAAAAAGTTCTTAAAATTAACGGCTTCAAAACCTATACGCAATAAACCGAAAATTTTGAAAATTGTGAAATGTGGAGCTACAGACTTTGAGTTACTTGCCATTTTGTTATTTTTTAATGCACACTTTTCTTACCTACTAAATATGAAGTGTACACATAAGTGCTAAATGCCCATTTAATTTCAAATCAGAATATGGTGTGCTTCAAAAGTTATGACATAATTAATTGTGCCTCTCTTAAAAATTACATAAAAAATTCACTTGTTTTCATTATTTATTTTTTTTTTTTATTTAAACACCGATATTTCAAAAGTTATGCAGCAAATTGATCCAAATTTTATTTGAGGCTTCAAGTATGCGTCAATGAATTATATGCAAAAGCAACCAGCTTGATTTAGTTTACAACAGTGAAAATAAAGCTAAATAACACAAAGGTTACCTGTTTTTTAGATTTGCCCATATACTTGCGTATTAGAAATACATGCATATAGTTATCAACAAATTATAAGTTTGCAAACATGAAATAAACGGAAAACAAGAAAACTAAGCAAGGAAATATTAAACATTTAATATACATATAAGAATTTTAGAAAAATGTATTGAAGAAAATGTGTTTTATTTCAAGGGAGTTGATAGTGGGAAAAGGCATTCATACTGTATAATCAGGCAGTAACAGCGTTCTTAATCTTTGCAAATTTATAGAATTTTTTTAGAAGTGAGCAGATTGTGCAGACTATTTCGTAACGTTTCATATGGTATTTTCACTTGCGTCGCTAGCACCCTTAATACTATTGGCTATCAACTGGACTTGTTGCGATTATCGTCATCGAAGGTTACAAATAGTTTCCGAATTTTAATATAAAGATGATTAATCTGCGAATCGATCCAGATGTTTTCAGTGCAAGTGTTCATCGCCTTAGCTCAATTGACTTATTAAATAAAAAATGGCTATAAATGACTCTAAGGCAGGGTGCACATTACAGCGATACGATACGCGATACAAATATTCCCAAAAATTATATAGCAAAACAAAAACAAATTTTTCCCAATTTTTCTTCTTTTGCCTGTTAAATTATGGGAACGATTTATTCACATGGAATTGGTAATAGGGCTGATTATGTCGCAGCAGTGTCCCTGTCGTGCAAGTGTGCAGTTTTCACCGCTTCCTACCAATTCCCATGTACCCAGCATGTCGATGTCGATGTCGCTTTCGTATCGTATTGCATATCGTATCGCTCTAATATAAACCGTGCCTTAGCCTTATTTATTTATTTTTGTTATAACTTATAAATAAATAAATAATAATAATAATAAGTTTGGTTTAAGTTTATTTAAGAAATCTTGAAGTACTCGGCGTATTACATAAAAAATACATATAAAAATACAAATTTATTATTATACAAATTGAGGTACTAGTACTGATTCATAACATTCCTGAGATAGCGAATGCATTAAACTCTCTGTACTAATTGCAAATGTATAAAAAATACTAAACGCAAACCAAATGAAAATACAATGTTAATGATGATAAAAATTACAAAATGAGTGCTTTTTTGCATATTACAATGAAAACATAAAAATGTCTCTACTCAAATTTTAATTTAATTACTTTTAATTAATTAATTATAATTACAATACTATTAAAATATGCAGACATGAATTTTTCCATCTTCAAATGAATCATGTGTATCGGAAATATCATATGAGAATTTATGTATGCTTGTAGTACTTGTAGTATTTAACTTGCTCGAGTTTATCGTATGCTCTGTCGGAAGGCGCTCTGCTTAGCCTTGCTTGGTGCTGTTTTTTTTGCAGTGTGCGGGTCTGGCACAAAACAAAGCCATAAGCGAAGAGTTTCATCTGCACCAGCGCTTATTACCGTGCTGCCATCAGGCGACATTGCCATTTGCAGTACACGCGAAGTATGCCCAGTTAACTCAGCCTGTTTTACCATTGAAGGATACTTCCATATCGTTAACTGATTGTGTGCAAAACCATGAGCAGAAATCAGTTCTTTGTAGTTACGCGACCATAAAAGGCCACAAACTTGCGATTTTGTATCAACTGAGTTAATTAATGAGCCATTGTTGACATTCCAAAATTTAATGCAACGATCTGCAGTCCCACCGCCGCTAGCTAAAAGATTTGGCTGCCAAGGGCACCATGCTAACGCTCTTACCGCCGCTTGATGTTCGTTTAGTACGTGTAACGGTTCTGTACCACTGCCAGTACCCCCGCTTACCGCCGCCCATACGTTAACTAAGTTGTCATTACCTCCACTAGCAAGGTGTTTAAAATCTGTAGACCATTTAAGTCCGCACACCTCTTGTGTGTGACCGTTTAGTGTGGCTACTTTGTGTTCCCGGGCACGTACGTCATGGTGTATGATAGACCCATCGCGACTGCCTGATGTTACTAAAAATGAGTTCCATGCCAAAGAGCCAACACGTGCCGAATGCCCATCCATTACACGCAGACGTTTAATCTTCGAACAGTCCCATAATTCCACAGCACCAGTATTATTTCCAATGGCTAAAATTTGTCCCTCCTGTATCCATGAGAGAGAACACGCATGATCAGATCCCTCATACTCCACCAGCTGTTCTATATTGCCTGTTGCTGCATTCCATAAATAAACTGCATTTCCCAAAGCCACTGTAACAATATTATCAGCACTCCAATCTAATAGATTCAAGTAGTAATCGTTAATTATGTCAGGGGCATCAAGTATTCGATCCGAAGTGGTGGGAATATAACGAGAGCCACTCTTAGTAGATATAGGCGTGTTAATTGAGTAAACAACTTTTAACGGATTTTGATGAGATTCTGGTGCAGCGGGTGCTTTGTTTTGATAGCATAAAATGCGCGTCGTCTTTGTATCACCAACTTGTAGAGTCTCAGAAATCAATTTCTGTCGTGCAATCTTTGATGGTGTCTTTTTGCTAGCATTGTTGCTATTGTCATTGCCATCATTTTCCGATTTTTCTTGCTCCTGTTTAATCTAAATTTTGAGGAATGTGCTATATGTTTTATATGTACACAATAACATTTATACCCACCAAATAATGGCCAAGCTCGAAATTGCTGGTTCCGCGATTAGGGATGAAGCGGTCGCCTCCACTTGGAGTCTTTGCGCCTTTGTTAGGTGTTGGCGTTTTCTTGTTCTTTGCCTCGCCTCCAACTTTTCGAGGCGTCTTTGTTGGTGGATTTACTCCAGAAAAACTGGTGTTGTATGACATAGATAGCACCGAACGGGACGCATTTATACTTCCGTTAAGACTGTTCGCCAATGCAGACGCTTCCAATTTTTTTTGCCACCGCGGTGCAGGACCTCGCGTTATTTCTCCATCCATCGTTAAAGCGCTGTTTATTTCATTCAAAAAGTTAAACTGCGACATCTTAGACTATCTTCCAGTGGAAAATTACGCCCTAATTTCTAAAATACTTCTGTAGTGTAAAGTTTGTTTAGGGCGTCCAACACCGTAGTATCAAAAAAGCCTGTAAAAATGGCGGGCGTAGGACAATTAGGGATGTTCCGACATAAGTAAATACGAGTATGTACTCGATACTTTTGTTTCAATACCAACTACTTTTTTTACTTGAATCGTTTCATCGATACCTACTTAGTATCGAAATAAAAGTACTTGTATTAAAGTCCAGCGCAAGTGTATTTGCCGCATTTCGTTCAATAAGTACTCCTTGCATTGTACTCTACTCCCAACACATTGTTACTCTTTTTCCGCATACATACACTACTTGGCGTTGAGAGAGTAAATACTTGACGTACTTGCTATTACTCCACCAAATTAGGTCCTCTACTTTCTCTCATCGCGTACGAGAGATATTTGCTGCTGCCAAAAGGGAGTAGCAAATCTACTCTCTGTATATTTGTAGTACTGTAAGTACTTGCGTATTAAATTTCAATTCTGGTTGTTAGCCTACTAGTTGATATCGCAGCTTTTTAAATCTATGTATGTACTTATATTTTTATGAAAGTATTATTTCTCGTTTCTTATTTTCTATAAAATTATTTGCATTCATTAACAAACAACCAAGTTGTCATAAACAACTTAAGCAATGACGCTATACGAAATAAAATTATTAGTGGCAAATCAAAATTTTGAAAAGTGCCGATTTTCACATTCGATAGTTGGACATGGTAGCGACGAGATGTACGAGCATTTATTTCTTAAGAGCTGCATACTGATTTAAGAAATTTTTTATAGAAGCAAAATTATTTATTGTGCGTACTTTTATATGAATTTTTAGTTTTTCTTGAGAGCCCTTACAAATAAAAAAAATTTCGAAATATGTACATGTGTACATACATACGCAGCCATATAACTTGATTTCAAGAGAAACGAATTTTCATTGGGCACGTTCAGAAGGCGCAACAGCTCAGTAACTGGTGCGATTGCACCTTCTGAACGCGTTGTTGCGTTCTTTTGATCAACTGAATAGTTGCGTGTTAGATGATCGTAATATTTTTCTGATCATTTGAGACAACACGTTGGTGTGTACCTTTGAGAGTTGAATTTGACAGCTAAAGTATGAAGTCGTTCAGAAGACGCATAACGATCACTGATTTTTTTTTAGTAACGATTGCGCTCAACTGCTGCGCCTTCTGAACCTACCCATTGATAGCTTTTTTTTGATAACACTGTGCGACATCTCAAATCGGTATTGTGTAAAATCAAATGCAAGAGATAGTTTTTGAATTTCATTGAGTTTTTTTCTTTAATAAATACTAAAATTAGAGGTGTATGAATGGCGAAAGAAAAACTTTATCCGATTTTTTTAAATCGAAACTAAATTTTTACATATGTACATGCATACATAAATATATTTAATATGAAATTGAAATTTTCACATTAATTTGCGCTATCTTCAACCCCATGGTTGCAATTGAACGCATGTCGTCAGGGTTTTCCCCACAACTTGGTTTTGCTGCAGTGAAGTGACAGAGCAATTGACGAGAAAAAATATATGCGGACACTTATATATGTATCTATGCACACATGTATGTATCTATGCACATATGTATTTACGCACATATGTATTTATGCACATACATACGTATCTACGCACATACATACATATCTACTTAGGTATGTATATCAGCATTTTAGTTGAAAGTACGTTTTGCTCATCGCTCCGCTGCATTCCTGTCCTTGGTTTTATTCAGATACCACAAATGTATGTTTTCTTCGAAAATACTCAAGTACTACCAGTAGAGTACTCTACTGTCAAATACCTTTTACTCGCAGTAGTTGCGGAAGGCAAAGTAAATACTCTACGCGTCTTGCTATTGATCGGTAGCTTACGTACGCTTGCAGAAACTGGTTTATGCTTACTCACACTTGACCCCAACGATGAAAGTAAAGGAGGGAAAGTATTTGCGCGGCGGTCGGATGTCTTGTTAGGCCGTTTAAATGGAATTGCGCAGGAGTTTAACTTGTATCGAATCGATTTGAGGAAGTGCCATATGTTTCGGTCATATATTTTCTATGGAAAGTAATTGCTTCGCTTTTATGAAAAATAATTGATCTAAGCAATGGCCAAAATCTAAAGAGGGGATATATTTTTACAAAGTTCAAGCAATGCCTTGTAGCCGTAACGTTTTGTGGGAACCTTTCAAAGGTTTAATTTTTTGTCTAAGTAATCGTATTACTTCTAATGTTACTAATAATCAAATAAACATATCGATACCTCAACTGAAAATATATAGAAAATATTTGAGATAGGGCGCTTTGAATCGGCAGCTGAGATAGGGCGTTTATGTACCGAGTTCTGAAAGAGGGTGGTCTTGAAAAGTTTTCGGGAAATGTTTAGTTATTGGCCCATCGTTTTTGGGGTGGGGGGCGGAGGGGAAGGGGGCGTGGCCCCCCAACAGTCGCCACTTTACGAAAAGCCCCACGCCTCCCCCTTGGGGACCTCCCACAGACCCCTAGGGAACCGTTGGAAAATAGGGTAAAAACGGCATTTTCCGAGGCAAACTGAGCAGTTTGAAGTGGAATATAACCCAACTAACGAAAACCGTGGGATTTTTAAATAAAAGAAATTATCCCAAGTTGGTTATCAGGCGATTTGAAAAAAAAAATTAACTACAAAAAAAATTAAGGAAAAAAAATTAACTAAAAATATTGTGAAATTAGGAAAAAAGCGACAGATAGAAATGTTGTAGTAATAGTAATATGATAGTATTTTAGCGCAGAACTTCTTTTTGCGTAGGCGGCCTTCGGCCGCACTTAGAGATTATAACCCTCACTACGTAGAATTCTCTTCTGTGTTGCCAAAGAAAGGGAGCTGAACACCTTTTGCAGAGAACACCTTTCTGCGTAGGCGGCCTTCGGCAGTAGAATTCTCCTTTCTGTTTTGCGAATAAAAGGAGCTGAACACCTTTTGCAGAGAACACCTTTCTATATTTTTCTCTCATTCTTTTGCATATTTCGGAGTTTGACAGCTGAACTCCGCCATTTAATTTGCATGTGCAACCAAAGTCAGACGCGTGATTTTGAAGGTGTTTTATTTAATGAATTGTGATTAATTGGTTAATATTAAAGTCGTAAATCAAGTTATAACTAATCGAGTAAAGTGTAAAGTGAAGGGGAATACAAAAATGAATTGGTGAAGTGGCTGCTTTAAGGAGAATAGGAGTGATAAATGTACGCTAATTTCCAAATTTTTCAAAAAAGGGCATATTTCAAACCCAATTTGTAAATAAATTAGTGACCAAAAATTACAATAGTGGATGTTAAAATAATGGGTAGACCCTTGGCTACAAGTGTGTGGATCGGGTCACCCCTTTGGACGCAATACCCCGAAATAGGTGGGCCACTTACTAAACAGTACCCAAGTTTTCTGATATAAGGCGTTTTTCAATCAAATTCTGGAATAGTGTGCTTTTGAAAAGTTTTCTCAGATAGGGCGATTTCAATCTGGCTGCCGAGATAGGTCGATCTACCACTCAGGTGTCGCAAAATGTATGTCACAGATAACGCCTGAAAATTACTTTCGCTTTGTTGCATATAAAAGGATGAAAAGTTATCGATATAAGTAGGTATCGATACATTCGGTTCACTCATATAAGTAGTATCGAAATAGGGATTTGAGTCATGAACGAAAGACACAAGATCACGCGGGAAGGAAAGAACGAAAAAAGTTATTTTCTAGCTGCCGAAATCTCGACGCCATCTTTGTTATAAGAAGTAAACAACGAAGAGAACGGAGAAAACCGCGAAATTGTTGAACGCATGAAAAATCATTTTTATTATGCAAATTCTTCTATAAATCATGCCGTTGTGTTAAATTATTCTTTATCTTATGGGTACACACGTTGTCACAAGCGAAAATGAAGAAAATTGCAGTAAAAAGCCACCACCAAATTGTAAACAACGAAGAAATGTGAACAAACGGCTAATGTCAAAATCGTTCAACTTTTTTCCTGCGTTTCTAACGGGCTACTCTCCTGCCCGCGTGATCTTGTCTTTTTGGTTCATGGATTTGAGTAAACTCATTTGAGTAGGTATCGATACTTTGATGGTATCGGAACGTCCCTAAGGACAATTGAATTTTGCGCCTTTGGTCGGTGTTATGCAGACAAACTTTTGTTTGCCAAATTAAATGGCGGCTGCTTAGTTTGCTCGGAGGTGGTTATGTCGAGTTTGGCACAGGGTTGCACGTTCATTATGGTTTTCATGGCTATTGCCAACACGAAATGAGAATTTCAGATGTACATAACGCGCACAATTTAAAATTTTTGTATATGACAACACCGAATTTGCTGCAGTTTGACCAAACAAAATTAGTTTGCTGTGAGAGTCGCAAAACTTGCTCTCTACGAGTTTGCTACAACAACAATTGCACGCAGTTTGCCAAACAAAATTTCTGCATAACACCAACCTTTCAAAAATTAAAATAATAATGATGTGCTGAATTATCGGTAGCCAATACCTCAAAAAGATTTCGGTACCCAGCAATTCCTTTTCGGTACCCGATATCGATTCTTTACCGGCCGTCTTCACATGATGAAATCTCGTCGCGTGACGACGCATGCGAGATCTCGCACATTTAGACCGCAAAACATACGAAGCGTATTTTCCCGCATGCCGTGCAGCCTGCGAGCTCTCGCTTGCTTTCAACAGTCATTTCTGTGTTAGGACGCTATTCATTTCATTTCAGGTAATTCTTCAAAGTAGCAACATCGTTTATTCTGGTGGCAAACACAAATTTAGCCTGCAAAGCTCTTCTTTTTTGGCGATATTTAACAAATATTAAAGTATGTCAAATGCCCAGTCAAAAAAACTCTAATCTCGCTTGCGAGATAAAAAGGTAGAA